TTCTTGTCAACAGACAGGGCAGGAATTAAGCAACCCCCCTGCCCCCCACCCGCAACCCCCTTCTCCCATGGTTTATAATTTAGAGGTTAGGGCATTTTGCTAATGTAGTAAAGTGAGATTTCTTTATACCCATAATACTGAAAGCCAAAGAATTCAACTATTTGCCATTAATTAGAGCAATGGGCAGTCACGGATATTGCCCATCCTCTCTGGAGGTTTAAAAACAACAACAACAAAGTGCCACTGGATAAACTATTTTGTTTCCAGTGATTTTCATAGTGGCCCTGCTGTCCCGGGTTGGGAAGCTCATGAAGTCAGTTTAGTACCCGGACGCCCTGGTGGTGCGTGGTCACAGTCCTCAGTTGGGTCAACGACACACACTTGGCAGTTTTCTCCCACAGAGAAAGCCTGGGGCATGCTGCAGTTCTGCCGCCCACGGTCCTGTAAGGTCCCATAGCCTGCTGGGAGCGGGGGATGAGGTGGTTGTGTTTATCAAAGGAGACGGCGTTTGAGTGGAGAAAACTGTGATCCAAGAGAAGACGAGGTCTTCCCTCTTCCAACCAGTCACTTGCTCTACCCCCAGGAGCTCTGGAGGCGTTTTTTGTACGTGTTCTATGGACCAGGCACCGAAGTGCTAATTCACGTCTTTAATTTTTTTTCCTTTCCTTGAATCATTTCAAAAGTACTTATCATCAAGCCATTTCATAATGAGGTTGTTGGACTAAGGCACCGTTGTGAATTGGATTGTGTCTCCCATGTCCCCAACCCTTATCCCTTGTGTTAGTCTGGGTACTTTAGAGAAACAAATCCACAGAAACTCATGTATAAGAGAGAGTTTTAAATAAAGGTTAAGTGCACATCAAGAAAACATCCCAACCCAGTGCTGCCCAAGCCCACAAGTCCAACACTAACCCTTATGTCCGACAGCAATCCACAAAGTCTTCCTCCATCTCACAAAACAGATGCAATGATGCCGACTGCAGGAGGAAAGCCGAATCAGTGAACGTGTAAGCATCTCAGCGCTGGCAGGGCTCTCCACATGGCTGCTCCAGCACCCAGGGCTGCATTGGGGTAGGTCCATATGGCTTCTCCTCAGGGATGTCTTGCAGGAAGTGAGCCTTGCTAGCTGAAGCAGGGAACTGGCTAAGGCAGCTGCACCCTGGTCCGACCACCAGAAATCAAGAGACAGGAGAACTTGAAAGGTGAGGCTCACTCAACCATTTATCCCTCCACCCTTCAATTAACCTCACGTGTTTATCGGCCAGGTTAGCACAGTAAACTTTAACTATCTTACCCCTGCTCCCTGCCTCCTCCCAAAATAGGTTATAGAACTCTAATGCTTCTCCCTGTGGACGTAACCTTGTGGGGAAATGGGGCTTTGCTAGGTGATGGAACCATAACAATGTGGGGTGTGCACTTCTGCGTAATAAACCGAGCAGATGAGACAGGGTTTGGGTCCTTGCTGGGAAGGCAGATTGAGATCTTAAGAGGATTATTAAGAATCAGGACACCCCTGGGGCTACCAGCAAGGATGGCGTTGGCACGCCTGAGATTCTAAGGTGCACCTGTTGCCTCCCATCCTGTTTCAAAGTGGATGCTCATTCGGTAAAGTCCCTCAGGAGTGGGTTTTGTAGTGTGACAGCATTAGCTATCTCAGACGGACATGCCCCAGCCAGGGGCGGTGGAGATCTCGTAGCTGTTGTGAAGGGCTCTGTGGTGCCTGGTGGCTCAGTGGTCAAGCACTCATTGCTAGCTGGAAGGCTGGAGGTTCCAATCTACCCAACTGCTCATTGGGAGAAAGGCCTAGGGACCTGCAGCCCAGAAGACCCGTCAGAGCCAGTCTGCTGTAGTTTGTCACCCTGCACTGCTGCTGGGAACTGAAAGGTAACCTGCTGCCACCTTACCCCCCCCCCCCCAATAATGGGTAAGTTCTCTAATTCCCAGGGTGGTCTCAGGAAGGGGGCAGGAGGCCTCTTGAGTTGGAGAAGAAAAAAGTTACTTCTTCCCCACCCTGCCCTTTAAGTATGTTCTTTCTTCTCATTGCCACTGCGGGAAACACAGCATAGGAGCATGGTGGTACCTGGCACTTTCATTGACTGGATGTGTTTGCTTGTTTATTTTATAACCTGTGACCTTAACGCCGACAGGTTCCCCAGGCATCACACTGTACTTTCCACATGTATCTCGACTGAGTTACACTCATCAACCTTCAAAAATATGATAGTCACTGGAGTTGCTACTTTTTTTTTAACATGTTATCAAATCAGCTAGATGGGAAACTAATTCTGTGAAAAAGAAACGGATTGAATAGATGTTTATATGTCACAGTGTATGGAAATCTATTTGTTACGGGTATCACATTGGCATATTCTTCAAAACGCGAGCCTTGGGACTACAAGTGGCCCCTCATTTGTAAGCCAGCAAACCGTAAGTATCATGACAGAGGGGCTGACATGGCGGGCATGGCCATTCTTTAGAACTCGTGTCTCACCTCGCCCAGGCTCTGAGAGAATGGATCTAGAGTAGGCAGGGGGTAGACCAGTGTAGTGGTTAGAGTAGGTGCCTGGATGGTACCTGTGTGGAGGCAGGGGTGGAGTCCAATGTATCAGTCAGGTGGTACCCTGGTGATGCCTGCTTAGGGGTGTGGCCTTTTTATAAGTGAAGAAGTGAGAACTTTGCTTCGGTCCCTTAATTCTGTGAGAGGATTCTGTGTCTGCCTCCAGGGGTGGCCCCGCATGGGAGCTAACATAGGAGCAGTAGACTAATTTCCACATGAGTTGTGGGGGAACCCCCTCTCTCTCCTCTGTGGTTTGGGGGAACTCTCCCTACTCCTATAGGCAGGCTTGACATTTGACCCAGGCCTGTCCTCAGTGTATTTCAGGTCTCAGGTTGGTGATGGCAATTCTGGGTTAGGCAATGGCCCCAGATCACCTAAGGCCACCAGGGCCACCATCATGCTAGCTCGTTTGGGAAGCTCTTGCCCTTTTTCCTTTGAGGTGGTGGAACTGAGAATTGTTGCTACCTTAAGGGATGTGTCTACGTGAGCACGAGGGCAACAGAGAAGATATCACAACCAAGATGCGGGGAAAGACAAGATACTTGCTGATACCCCTGCCTCAACCAAATCTAAAGACTCTTTCTGCATCCACTTGAATAATTCCCCTTTCCTTTTGATGCTCAGATAACTTCGTGTGTATCTATCATTCCTTCTGAAAGCATTCTGACACAGGACCTTGCTTTTGTTCACTGCAGTTTAATGGATTTTGCCTGACAGTGACTGTGTGGCAGATTAGAGTTGCCCCAGAGGGTTGGCTCATAAGGAACCCCTGGGAAAAAAAAAAAAGGGCCCTTAACGGTTTCTAAGCTATACTTTTTATAGAATCAGATTTCTAAGTCCCGTAGCCCCACCGAGACCTTGTGTGTTTTAACCCTCAATTTTTCAGTTATTACTCGGGCTTCATGACTTGCACTCATTCACAGGATCTCGCAGTACTCTCTAGAAAAGTCCACTGCTGTAGTCATTCTGACTCATAATTGATCCAACATCAGATTTCCAAGGCTGTAAATAGAGCTGAAAGCTTCAGCTTTCTCACAGAACAATGGGTGGGTTTGAACCACCAGCCTTGGGGGTCGTAGCCTCAGCAGGCATCCTAGTGCTCCTCTAGCAGTAAGCAATACTGGGTAACTGACCGAATGCTGATCTAATTGATTGGACCCAATTCTCCAGCCCTGTGAACTTCCAGTATTATGGAGAGCCTCGTGAAAGCGTTCTGAAGGGGAAGTTCTTCCAAAGTTAGTGATTTGTAAAGACCAGTGTGTTTGTTTTAGGATTGTCATCCTAGTCTCAATAAAGACCGAGCTCACTGCCTGACTCACAGTGACCCTACAGGGCAGAGAATTGCCCCCATGCGATTTGAGACTAAATGTTCACGGGAGTAGAAAACCCCATCTTTCTCCTGCAGAAAGACTGTGCTTTCAAATTGCTGACTTTGTGACTTGCAACTGGTTTGCTTTTGTTTAAGATCTGGTATGCAACAAAACTCTCCAACAATGCTCATCAAACCTATCAGAGCATCTATCCGAGGTGGGGATTTCAAGAAATTGAACGCTCAGAGTCCGCAGGATAGGCCATGAAGATTTAGCCAAAGGAGTTGTCTCAAGTTCCTTCCTTTTCGCCCTGGCATCCTAACAGGGGGCAGACTCTTCCTGGGCTGATCTGGCAGGGAGAGCATAGCTTTTCCTCTTTCTGCACAGAGAATTCTAATGTTGCCTTCAGCTACTCCCCATTGCAGTGGCAGACTGGTCGCTGCCCCCGGCACAATAGGTACTATCTTGCTTTATGTCTACCGAACAGCTGCACTTTGACAGTTCGTTTTAAACTAAATGAGGACCTGCTTTGGCCTCCCCTTCACCCAGCCTAGCAGGCACTTTCACTTCTGTGGATCAAACAACTGCTTAGGTTAAGGCTTAGTCACCTGTGTTACAAGCTGCAAACGAGTGGAGGGTGCTATGATTTGCTTTGTTGTCTCAAAGTTGGTCTTGGTCTAGCTGTGTCTATTTTGTTTCACAAGGTCAAAGCCAATAGTCAATAAAAAATCAGAGTGCTTAGAAGATGGAGTCTATAGCATTACAGTTACTTTACCAACCACAATGCAACACCCAATTAGTGCTTACCAAGTACTGTGAAATAAAGGACTGCGATTTCCAAGCAGAAACAAGTGCAGCTGCAATAGGAAATTACAAAAGCGAATACTTTCTTCTAAGATGTTACTTTCAGGGACTACTCCATCTATACTTGATATGCTGATTCCCCGAGACTCCATTAGGATCGTTCAAACATATTACGCTTGTTTGTGCTAAGTCCGCCCTCTAAGGTAAGGGTTCACACGAGTGAAGGGCCCGGCAGGAAGAGATGGAGAGGAACCAGGTGTCAGGCAGAGAGACGCCACAACGCAGCACCTTGCTTTGGTACAGCAGTTGAAATGATTTGACAATGGGACGACAGGGTTGCCTCTTTTATTAGCGCACTCAGACAGCAGCAGAAAGACAGCCTTCCCTTCGATCCTCAGTGAGACTTTGTGCTTTTCAGAATGCCACTTTCCAGAAGTGCAGTCATGTGCTCCCTTAGACAGGCTGACAGAGTGAAAACTTGTATGTGATGCAAAGTACCGTTTGGGCCGTAGAGCAAGACACATCGAGTACAGTGACAAGTCAAATGCCCCCCACAAACAACACCTCAGTCTCCCCTTCCCATGCGCTGGCTCCCAGGGTGCACCACAGAACCCACATCTGGCAAAACATAGAACACGGATGGCTACCGGCTGACATGAAAAGTAAATTTTATTCAACATGTTTACATAACATGAGTTGGAAGTTCATTTAAAAGCACAGGGGAGTGTTAAGACAAGTGGTCAAAATAGAAAGATACTACCCAATTAATATTAGTTGATTGTTGGCCACTAAGACAGAAGGGAATCCGGAAGTGCACCAATGCCTCAGTGCCTCCTGCTCAGCACGGTGAGCAGGGGTCAATCTGTGCCCCGTGGAATGATGGGCAGAGAAGTCTGGCATGTAGAAATAATAATAAAGAACTCACTTGGTGCAGGCAGTATGTCTATGGATTAAAACCTGGTGTATACACAGTGTCTACATGTGTTACAGCCCCACAGTAGGAATCTACACCAAAGTATGTATTAGAAGGAATTTGGTCCGTCGTACTACATCACGTTTTCCAGAGGGTAAAAAATAGCGTCCATCTATAGACATTTCACACCGGACTCACAGACGGAGCCTGGCTAAAACTTGCAAAATGTCTGTAACGAAATGGATGGCTTAGATTTCTCGGTTATTTCAGTATAGTCATTAACGAGCAAACTGTACAGGTACATGCAACGGACAAGCTGGCCTATGTAGAACTAACATACACGATTAAATCACCTTTTGTTTCTTTTCTTTTTTTATTTGTTTTATTTTATTTTTTTTTACAAAATGTGCATGCAGCTTCGAACAGTTCCAAGTCATGCTGCCCTTGTGTGTAATCACGAGGTCGGGGGGCTCGTCCGAGGAGGGGGGACACCGCGTGCGCCTGCAGAGTCTGCAGGCTGGAGCACGTGCACACAGTGCCAGCACTAGCAGCGAACTCAAGGCCCAAGAAAACGCAAAGGAGGAAAATGCAAACTGAAATTTGACTTTTTCTTTAAACGCCCCCCTCCCGCCTGTGCTGTGCCCCACAACGTGTGAGTCTTTGCATTAAAAAATCAAGCTTTGTGCTTGCATCCATCTCAAAGAAACGTAAACTAAAATTTGGTAAAAACAAACAAACAAAAAAACCCCAACACATTAGTTTAGTGCGGACTGTTTCCCCCGGCCTCTCCAGTGAAACACCGTCCTGCTCCTTCCAGGGCAGATGAGGACGTCTACGTGGAGATGCGTCTACGTGGAGGCGTGGCCCAGAAGCCCGGGCATTGCTAAACGTGTCATGGGCTCGTAACATAGGCTCCTTCCCTAGGCCCCATTTCAGGAAGTCAGAAGTGTGGGTTCTACACATGAGCCGAGTTATGATTCTTTGTGGCTGTCAGGAAGGAAAAGGCATGACCAGGAGCATTTCCTAAGGACAATTATGCAGTTCGTTTCAGTCCCCAGCATTAGTTGCAGATGGATTTCTTTGAAAGTCTTCCATGCAAAATAATGGAAACCGTAAATGAATTTTGTAGAAAACAACAGATCTGCTCTTCGTTAGGGAAAGGATTCAGTGATCATTTTACTTTGGAAGCGAGCGTTTTGCTGTGCTTCCGTGGTGCTTTGTTTAGAGTTTCCACAAAGAAGGCTTGGAAGGGTTATGGAATGAAAACCAGGGAAGCCCTTCCTGGGCCTCACTTGGTTTGGTTGTAAAACATTTTGGGGAGATGCTACAGAGACAGCGTCAGCCCTTTTTGGGTTGTTGTGTTTTGTTTTTTTTGGTGCTTTTGGAAAAAGAAAGGAAGGGTCTCTGTCAACATGATGAGGCCTGTCACAGCAAGCCCCAAACAGCGGAACTAACAATTACCACGAGAGCCAACACGGAACCCCAACCGAACGACGCACACACAAAGAAAGAAAGGGCGCCGGACAAAGCTGGACGAACACCAGGGAATTCACACTGCTTGTGGTCTGTGTTGCAACGTGCAGGACACGGCTTCTCACAGCGTGAGAGCTTCCAGTTGGTTCAATTTGGTGCGGTGTGGGGTGTGTGTGTGTGTGTGTGTGTGTGTGTGTTTGACATTTCCTCTCTTTTCTCGTTGCCACAAGCATCAGTGACTCTCACCAGCACACAGACTCTTACGCGATTTGATAGACTGCCATGTTCTGTCATAAGAAGCCAGGTTTCAAAGAACAATTGGGACATAGTATTGAAAAACTACTACAAGCAAAACACAGGTTGATTGTCTGTCTCCAACAATGCTTTTGATCATGAACTATCTGGTTCTGATGATTCTCCTGAAAGTCAAGTTTCCTGGGATGACTCTGGTCTGAGTTCACTATGATCGAACGCAGGGTGGCCCAGTTGAACTTTCCAGAGATGACTGGGAAGCCCGGCGAGTGAGGGGAGTGAGGGTGGGGTCCACCAGTGACGAAGGTGGGAACAATTTGTACCATCCGATCACCATGCTGGAGAGGTCAAGTTCTTCCAACAAGATTTGAGCCACGCCCATAAAGCATTTATGGTCCATTCTGCCATAGTCCCCCCAGACAATTACCTGCAGAGACAGAGAAACAATGTCACCCACCTTCTGTTTCACATTCAGAGGGAAGGTCAGCGAAGGGAGACGAAATGGACAGAACGAGAGCTGTGAGGCTACAGATAAGAAATAAGAATCTCTCCCAATCTAAATACGCACCTTTCTCCAGCTTCAAAAACAAAACATAATTTTAGACTTAATGACATGCGCATAATGTTTCCCTAGTTAGTGAGGGGTATGTTCTACACTATGTTAAAAAATGTGCATGTTTATTTACATAGACATGTAACCTGTTTCTTGAGTACCACCATGTAAGCGATGTGCGGAGCCAGTGATAGAACAATTACAATGTGTGCACCTCAGGGGAATGAGCCAAACCGGCCAGGGCCATGGACTATGGAGTGCGTCCACCACAGGGATGGACCGAGCATGACTGATGGCTTGTGCACAAAGAGGAAAGTGGAAAAGTCATTGTGAGCCACTCACTTTTGAGAACTTTTTAAAACAATTTTGATTTGGTCGGGTGACTGGCCAATATGTCAGCGACCTCTGTCAGGGTAACCTCCAGGTGCAGTGACATACGCTTCCCTTTGTCCTCACAGGTTCTCGCTTCTCACCTTTCACTCATCTGTCAAACGTCTTGAATGAACCCACACACTGCTTTACAAAGGCAGGTGGTGATACATCCGTGTGGTTCAATCGACCTTTGGTCACCTTTGCCAAATTGTCTAACTGTGTGATCCTTTGACCTAACCTTTAAGACGGGGATAATGAGACTTATCTCACAGCGTGATCACAAAGCTTAAAAGAACCACTGTACGTAGCATGTAGCATGTGGCGACACCTCCACAACCAAGCCACACTTCCCTCCCTTCTCCTTCTGTTGCAAAGCGAGGACAGAGTTATGCTCCACACACTGCGACTGCTGGCCTCGAGCTCTCAACAGAGAAGGCAAGATGATGGTACGCAGGGCAAAGGCAGGAGAGGACGGAGAGAAGGAAAGAGGGGAGTGAAAGCAATAAAATCTTGGTTTCCTCAGATTCATCAGCTAATTTGAACACCATCCACTGAATGATTTTTTTTTCTCTATCCAAAGGATATTGCCCGGCATTGACCTTTACTGCACTCCATTCTTCTGGAGTGTGGCGACTTCTCCGCTGTTTGTATGGCTAATGTGGACATTACAATGTTCCAAAAGAAAAACCTATCAAAAAATCATAGCATTGTGAATGAGGAGGAGTGCGGAGTGGGGACCCGAAGCCCATCTGTAGGCAAGTGGACATCTGCTTACAGAAAGGTCACAGAGAGGAGATGAGCCATTTAGGGTGCAGTGTAGCAATGATGAAACACAACTTTCCTCTAGTTCTTAAATGCTTCCTCCCCACCCACTATCATGATCCCAATTCTACCTTACAAATCTGACTAGACCAGAGGATGTACACTGGTACAGATAAGAACTGGAAACACAGGGAATCCAGGGCAGATGACCCCTTCAGGACCAGTGGTGAGAGTGGCGATACCGGGAGAGTGGAGGGATGGTGGGGTAGTAAGGGGGAACTGATTACATGGATCTACATATAACTCCCTCCCCCTGGGGGACAGACAACAGAAAAATGGGTGAAGGGATATGTTGGACAGTGTAAGACATGACAAACTAATAATAATTTATAAATTATCAAGAGTTCATGAGGAAGGGGGTGTGGGGAGAGAGGGGAAAAATGAGGAGCTAATACCAAGGGCTCAAGTAGAAAGCAAATGTTTTGAGAATGATGATGGCAACAAATGCACAAATGTGCTTGACACAATGTATGCATGTATGGATTGTGATAAGAGCTGTATGAGCCCCCAATAAGATGATTTTTAAAAAAGAAGAAAACCTATGACTGACCTGAAGGACTTTACCCTGCGGACTTTCGTCAAAGACCAGGGATTGTTGATACAAAGGGTCGAGGGTTTTTCGCGCAATTCTTGTCTTCTTCTTGGCTATACAGGCCCCGTTTTCCAAAAGGTAGACTTTGACGTAAGGAGCTGAACAAAGGGATAGTGTAAGAAGTTAATCACCAAATCAATGCCTTCTTAGCAAATTAGAGGTGCTTATTGGATGTTTCCCTTTTGAGTACTTAAACCATACTAGATACATTCTCTTGTTTCTTAACATCCACATGCCGCCACTGTTGTCCTTTTTGCAAGAAGCCCTGCTGGCACAGTGGATGGCACGTTGGCCTGCTACCTGCAAGGAGAGCAGTTCCCAACAATCGGCCGCTTTGCAAGAGAAAGACGAAGCTTTGCACGTCAGTCCGTGAAGAGCTTCCGTCTCAGAAACCACAGGGGCAAGTCTCCCTGGTCTTGCAGGCTTGCTAAGAGTCGAAATGGAGGTGAAGTATTGTCATTTTCAAGTAAACATGCACGGCTGTGGTCATGACTTTTACTCCTCTGGGTTACTGCTGCCACCACAATGAGGTTTATACCTTTAGGCTCATTGTTTCCTCTTATGGTAAGAACGACATCATTGTTTTTCCTTTATCTTTCTGAATTCACATGGGCCCTGGTGGCAGAGCGGGTTACA